GGGCAACAAAGAGACACGACGGGGCTACAAAGAGACAAAACAGGGCTACAAAGAGACACGACAGGGCTATGAAGAGACAAAACAGGGCTACAAAGAGACACTGACACCTCTGTTTTGTTGACGCTCTCGTGTTGTTTCTCTGGCAGCCAACAAAGAGGAAGTTTTCCACGTGGCCATCCCTCGCTTCCACATGGTGTGTCCCCCGTTCAGGGAGCCGGTGACTCGAACGGTAAACGTCTCAGCTCGATAGACGGGCTCATTTACATGCAGCGTAACTCACCTGTTTTACTTACGGTCCAGGTGTTCCAGTGACGGCTGTGTGCAGTGACTGTTAGCATGTTAGCTGTCACCACAGTTTGATTCTAACAACGGCAGACACAAACCCATTAGACGCTGTTTTCAGCTCACATCAACTGTCTCCTGTGTCTCTGCAGCAGAAGGCGTCGGCCAGCTACAGCGCTCGCTTCGACGACCACGATGACGACGGCGAGTACTGCGATGGAGACGGCGACGACTTTGGCGACCTGAGAGGAATCAACATGGCCGCCTTGGAGGGAGCGTGGTGCCCTCGACACATCTGAGCTACGACCCCCTGCAGCCGGGGCTTATGGGACGCACTGGGCGGAGCCATGCAGGGACAGAATCAACTTCCAGCTGCCAAGCAAACAAACGCTGTTTTATAGAAAACGTCTTTTCTGTTTGTTGTTTATGTCGCGACACTGTTGGATGAGCTCGGACGGCGGCGCTCCCTTCCACGTTTTCAGTTTTCTCAAACAACAGGGACGCAAAGGAAGCCTCGCCGGCTGCTGCAGCGTTAGAAATAAAGTCGGGAGTCGGCTTCAGTCGACATTTAGTTGCACGGCTGCAGAGGAGCTCATCAAAGAGCCGAGCTTCCTCCAGCAGGAGATCCTTCAAACAAACATGCGTGTTTTCTGGCTGCAGGAGCTTCAGGCGGATGAACTGGTGTTCATCAGCAGCTAGACAGAGGGATGGAGCTGGACCTGACGTAGAGCTGCAGCTACTGATGACTTCCACCAGCAGGTGGACGACAGGCCTGCACCATGTCACCGACATGTCAGATGATTCTGAAGTTAACAGTTTGCTGCTGAGTAGAGCAGAGTTTAAAGGTCACAGTTTATCGTCGTGTCCTTCACCTGCAGGACGACACACTTTATTCACAATATTAAACTGTCAGGACCGTGTTCTCGTGGTGGTCCTGGTCAGCTGTTTAGTTGCTCACTGATCTTCTGGATCCTTTCAGCCAGATGTTTCTCCTCCTCTGTTCAGTTCTACACTGTGAAGCCATTTTGGGCCATTTTTACTTGTTTAGGTCAAATTGTGAGTCAGTTACTTACAGTCATTTTGGACCGGTTCTGAGTCATTCGGGGGCTGACTTTGGTAATGCTGGATCAGTGTTACTCAGAATTTGGACTCAGTACAGTTTAGCTGGATTCCTTTTGGCTGCTCTGAGTTCCTGCTGATTCATTTACGAGATTAATTGACAGCTGATAGAGTCCAGAATCATTTGACATGTCGGGTGACGTTCGTCCATCAGTCAGACATCAGGAGCTTGTTCTGTTCCACAACAGAAGAAACGGACGAGCAAACCCTCAAACCTGACTCTCGACAGGGAATTTTGCTCAAATGATTCATGATAAAAATAATTTAAAATATTTATCGTCTGGTGTTTTCAGCCCAGGCAGGATTCAGTTCTCGTCGCCCCCCAGTGGATAGATGTGGTGTTGCAGCTGTTGTAAAAAGCTCAGAATCATTCACAGCAAAGACGCCGTCAGAATTATGGGGAATTTTTATTTGACCAACAGGTTTCTTTAAGCTAATGATAAATGTGAACTATTTCTGTGGTTTCTGTGGATTACGAAGCGACGCCAAGCTGACTACAGAGACACAGAACCAGAAGAAAAAGACCAGCAACCATGACGAGATGCAAAAAAGGCAACTTCAGAGATGGATGAATCCACGATGACTCGACACAACGGCACTACAGAGTCGTACAGCTGTTACAGAAATGGAAAAAAAACACAAGAAACTATAAAAGACCAAAAAACAAATACTACTAGAAACTGTTGCAGCAAACCTGCTGGTCAAATACAAACTCGTCATCAAGCTAAACTTCACTACAAGGTCTGAGCAAAGATCCAAAAGACTTTTGTTGCTTCCAGCTTCTTAGTTTTGAAGCTCTGGCGTCTCAAACCACGACGTTTGTAACTGATGGTGTGAGGATGCAGGCGCTGGTGGCGTGGGTTTATTCAGGTGCAGCGGCTAACGCCAGCTTCAGGTTGTCGCAGTGGGAAACTTGTGTTGCTTCTTGTGTTGCCTGCCGGCCCACGAGGCGGGCGCAGTGTGAATATCTGGAAGAGCTGCAGGGTTGATTTAGTTTTGAGTGTTTCCGGCTCCTGTTTTGTGTTGTTTTCTTAAACTTGGTATCATGAAGCAGATTTCCTTCTGAGGCGGGTTTGTTTTGTATGTTTGGACTAAATAAATGACAGATATTCATGCAGACTCACTGCTTCCTGTTGTGTTGAAGGTCTCGCTGGCAGAAGGTTCAGCCTGAACTCAGTCTGGCTGCTGTGTCTAAAATCTGTCGCTTTCCAGCAGATCGCCGTAGAGCCGGCTGGACGGACGCCTTCTCTCCACCGGGTTTCAGTCTGCTGCATGAAGGCCAGTTTCTACATTAAACACTTCAGATGTCAACACAGGAGATGTTTTCACCGACAAGAAGTCGCCACACGACGGCGAGGAGACGGCGCGCGACGACAAACACGTGTGATGTGACCACAAAGAGACACAACAAGACACAAATAGAGAACAGACACCAGAGAACTACTCAAAGATGCACAAACACAAACTCCCCCAAAAGGGTTTATTTTTAATATTTAACAATCATCATTGACATTTAAAACACAGAGTTGGTGGATGTAGCTTCTCTACTTCCTGGACGTCCTCTGTCAGTCTTCGTCGTCGTCGTCGTCGTCCTCTTCCATCGGCCTCGTCGTCCTCCTCCGTTTTCTGCGTCCTCTCGTCTCCTTGCTGTCCTCGTCCTCATCCTCCTCGTGGTCCTCCTCCTCCCCTGCTGCTCCTGCTGCTCCTGCTCCTCCTGCTCCTCCTGCTGCTCCTGCTGCTCCTGCTCCTCCTCCTGCTCCTGCTGCTCCTGCTCCTCCGTCCTCCTCCTCGCGGGCGTTGCAGCGGCTGCAGTGCCTCCTGAAGCCTCCCAGGAAGTGGGACCTGAAGCAGCAGAAGGGGCAGGCGTAGCGTCCGGGCCGGTGGGCCGCCCTGACGTGCTGCTGCAGCCGGCTGGGCAGGAAGAAGCTGCGCTTGCAGTCCTTGCAGCTGTAGGGACGCTCGACGTCGTGGCAACGCACCACGTGACTGATGGCGAAACCTGCAACCAACACAACGGAGAACACTTCAACATGCGACCATGGAAACAGCAAAAGCTCACAACGAAGAGAGTCTTTGAAAAACAGCACAATCACAATAATGGTGATTTCAGTAAAGGTGACGGAGTCGGATATGAAACGACCACATGGAGCACCAGAGGGAGACGCGCCGTACCTTTCAGTTTGGTCTTCCAGCCACAGATCAGGCAGACGAAGCGGTTGGAGATGAATCGCACCACTTTGGCCGTGGCCTCCATCTCCTCCTTCAGCAGCTCGCCGCTCAGCCCGACCGCCGCCTCCTCCTCCTCCGCTGCTGCGCCGCCCTGCGTCTGATTGGTCACGACGGCGTCCCGTCTGACGGCCTGGGCGGCGTAGGCTTTGGGGATGTCGTGTTTGCGCACCACATGGTTGACGCCCAGCGCCTTGAGCTTGTTCCTCCAGCCGCAGATCAGGCAGCGGTAGCCGCCGCCGTCCGACATCAGCACGCTCTTCTCTCCGTCGTTCTCGGCCTTCACCTCCTCTTCCTCCTCCTCCTCCACCTCGCTGCTCCTCTTCCTCCTGCCGGTGTCCTTCCCCCCCTCGTCCTCCTCGTCCTCCTCGCCGTCACCATCGCGCTCGTCCGTGCAGTGCTTGGAGATGAGGTGCTTGTAGATCTTGGTGAAGTCCCGGCTGGTGTAGAAGCAGTCGCAGCAGTGGAAGAGCCGGGCGCCGCTCTGGTACATCAGGATGTTGCCGAGGCGACCGACCGCCACGCTGTCCAGGCAGACGGGGTGAGTCGCCGCCATGTGGGTCAGCTGGTGGGCGTGGCTCTTGGAGAAATGTCCACAGTGGGGGCACTGGAGGTGGGCCGCGACGCCGCCGCCCACCTCGCCGCGGGTGTGGATGATGACGGACATCCTGCAGAGAAACAGGTCGCTTTAATCACATCCTGAAGCTGCTGCGACAAAGAGACACAAGAACATCCATCATCTCTACACCTTCATCCTCACCAGGGTCATGGGGGGCGGAGCCTATCCCAGCTGACTCAGGGTGAAGGCAGGTTCACCTGGACAGGTAACCAGTCTATCACAGGGCTACACTTAGAGACAGACAACCAAGCACACTCACATTCACACCTACGGACAATTTACAATCACCAATTAACCTCAGCATGTTTCTGGACTGTGGGAGGAAGCCGGAGAACCCGGAGAGAACCCACGCTGCACGGGGAGAACATGGAGACTCCACGCAGGAAGATCCCGGGTGTCCTCACCGGGACGCCAACCGGCGACCTTCTTGCTGTGAGGCCACGGTGCTAACCACTGATCCACTCAAGATAATCAAGTTGATCCACTTTAGGTGCCGTTTTTCTAAATGTATCTGATTCTATTTTGAAACTAAAATCTCACAATAAGTGTGAAAACTTTCTGCTCTTCTTGGTTTATATATGAATGATGTCAGTCGTGTGGTTTCCAACCTGAATGACTGACTGAGCAGATTTCTGATGGACATATTTACTGATCATCAGTCAGTAATAACAGTGATAATAACAGTATTCATCCTGACTCAGAGCTTTGTGTGTCTAATAGACACTGTGGCAGCAAAACAGAGACTCTGGTGAACTTCATGATACTTTATTGACTCGATCACCATCTGACCATCCTTCATGTCACTCTATCTTGTTTCCAGCCGTCATCACATGACCTCCCGCTGACCAGACTCTGGACTTTGCTCTGACTCTAACGGCTCGGTTCGTGTCTCCGGTCCATTAACGGCTTCAGACGGAATCCCGGCTTTATTCCGGTGTAACGACACGCTTTGCTATCGGTGGAACAACGGACCGCAGCTAACAGGCTAACGAGCTAAGAAGCGCGGTTCCGACGCTCCGGTTCCGCCCACCTGCCTCGGTTTGTCCGTGCTGGAGCTCCGGGACCTGCGCAGGACTCAGAACCGGCTCTCTGGAGGAGTCTGGGACGTTTTAAACCTTCATGTTTGGACCGAACACATCGAGCTGCTTCCACCGGCGCACACGCCAACTTCCGTGTTTACCTCCAGCTCAGCCAATCGGCTCGCTGCAGCCGCCCGCCATGGACCAATCACAGCCGTGCTTCTAACCGCGATAACTATCGCGAGATCTGTGACGGTCTTCAGCGATTTCGTGGTTTTGTCGGTGCCGAAAGTGATGAAACAAAAAACAAATATAAATATTAGAATCAAATGTAGAAACAAACGTCCTCCTGTTTGTTTATTTCACTTCCGGTCTGCCAGAATTTACAACAACAAAAGCAGCTGATCCGTGACCCAGAAATCCTTCAGACATTCAGTAAACAC